TAAAAAGTTGTAATTATGACATATCAAGTCGTAATTATGATAAAGTTGAAATTATGAGATAAAAAGTTGTAATTATGACATATCAAGTCGTAATTATGATAAAGTCGAAATTATGACATACTAAGCCATAATTATGACATAATAAGTCATAATTATGATCAAGTCGAAATTATTTGATAAAAGGTCGAAATTATGAGATAAAAATGTGAAATTGTCATACTAAGTCATAATGACGTAAGCGATAATTATGACATACTAAAGTTGAAAGTTGAAATTATGAGATAAAAAGTTGTAATTATGACATACCAAGTCGTAATAATGATAAAGTCAAAATTATGAGATAAAAAGTCGAAATTATGACACACCAAGTCGTAATTATGATAAAGTCAAAATTATGAGATAAAAAGTCGAAATTATGACATACCAAGTCGTAATTATGATAAAGTTAAAATTATGAGATAAAAAGTTGTAATTATGACATACCAAGTCGTAATTATGATAAAGTTAAAATTATGAGATAAAAAGTTGTAATTATGACGTCAAGTCGAAAATTATGATAAAGTCGAAATTATGAGATAAAGTCACAATTATGACATACTAAGCCATAATTATGACATACTAAGTCATAATTATGATAAAGTTGAAATTATGAGATAAAAAGCCATAATTATGACATAATAAGTCATAATTATGATAAAGACGAAATTATTTGATAAAAGGTAGAAATTATGAGACAAAAATTTGAAATTGACATACTAAGTCATAATGACGTAAGCGATAATTATGACATACTAAATCGTAATTATGATAAAGTTGAAATTATGAGATAACATTTTTTAAATTGACATTCATAAAATGACATTATTATGACATACCAGGTCGTAATTATGATAAAGTCGAAATTATGAAATACTAAGTTATAATGACATAAGCGATAATTGTGACATACCAGGTGGTAATTATGATAAAGTAGAAATTATGAGATAAAAATGTTGAAATTGACATTCTAAGTCATAAATAAGTGATAATTATGACATACTAAATCATAATTATGATAAAGTCATAATTATGTCATACTAAGCCATGTATAGTAGCTATATAGAACCTTTTTGGTATAAAGCGTCTTTAAAATTGATCTAGAACCCTAGAGTTGCTCATGTTTTCTCTTGAATCATATCTCTGTCGCGGTGTTGATGTGAATCTGCAGGTGTTCGTGGTCTACCTGGAGTCTAGAGAAGTGTGCATGAACGAGGCTCTCTGAACGGGTTACTGGCCGCCGGTACTCCCACCAGTAGCGAATCTTTACTGGCGTTCTGGAGGCAATACTGCTGAAGATCCGCGGCCGCCTGAGAAACCTGCATCACAAACACACACAGATCAAACTTTACGTTAGAAATCATCATCATAACCCGTGTGTGATGCAGGCTGGGCCGTGTCTTCTTCGCCAGGCATTACGTCATCGCGCTGGAAAGGTCACGCTGGACGTAGGCGTAAGCACCGCCCCATTGTTTACAAGCGTGGAGAAGGAGGATCGTTCTAATTTTATTGTATGTTGAATGACATATTTATGTCTTTGTGTCAGTTTATTGTTTAAAATAGTCCTTTCGTGTGCAAATCCTGGGTGTTTAAAACAATGGGGCGGTGCTTACGCCTACGTCCAGCGTGACCTTCCCAGCGTGATGACGTAATGCCTGGCGTCGCAGACCAGCACAAGACCAACAACTGTGGTTAAAAAGTATATACATTTTAATTTTTTTTAGAAAATGACAGATCGTTTCGCTAGATAAGACCCTGTTCCTCAGCTGAGATCTGTCTTCGTGTCTTCTTTGAGTTTGTCATGCTTTGGTAAATGTTAAAGTCCCCCTGTGGTGAAACTCAAGTGTTTAATGTTGTTTGTCTACGTGGTGTTTTTAATAATCACTGCAAAAAATGCTTTTCTTACCTAGTAATTTAGTCTTCTTTCCAGTCCAAATATCAAAAAATTCTTAAATCAAGATGCATTTACTAGATGAGTAAAATGCCATAAGATATTATGACTATTTAATTTTTATTTATTTTTAAGCAAAATTATTTATTTTTTTACCCCATTGGCAGATAATTTTGCTTTTTTTAAGCAACAACTCACTTAATTTTGATTTATTTCCTCAGTAAACAAGACATAATATCTTATGGCATTTTAATCATCTATTAAATGCATCTTGATTTAAGAATTTTTAGATATTTGGACTGGAAACAAGACAAAAATACTAAGAAAAGCATTTTTTGCAGTGCTTTAAAGGGATACTCCACCCAAAAAAAGTCAATGGTGTCAAAGATCCAATCGTTCTTCAAAATATCTTCCTTTGTGTTCAGCAGAAGAAAGAAACTCATACAGGGTTGCAACAACGTGAGGGTGAGTAAATGATGACAGAATTTTCATTTTTGGGTGGAGTATCCCTTTAAACCATGTGTAAATTCATAAGTCAATAGCATTGCTGCTGAGTATTTTCTCTTTGAAACTGTGGACCAAAGACGCCCCTGTTTCCTGCATCACAAACATGTGACCAATCCCGTCACTTGTGGGCGGGGCTTTTCTCCACTGACTTTCTATGATGTTCAAGTGTTTCTAATGATGCTGATTTTTCTCAGACTCTGAGATGGTGAACGGGAACATGGTTTGTGTAACATTACTAATTTGCATATTCATGAAGCCACGTGTACTAAATGAAGCAAGAGTGTAGAGTTACAGTCAAGCTATTTTAAGGCATGAAGAAATTATTTTCACAGGAAAAAAACGTGTAATTTTGATTATTAAAGATGAGTTTTAAGGGATACATTTTATTGACTGCAAGGGGACTTTAATTATGACATTAGTTGCAATTATGATAAAGTTGAAATTAGGCTATGAGATAAAAACTTTAAAATATGACAAACTATGTTATAATGACTTAATAAGGCATAATTATGATGATAAAATTTTTAAATTGAGATAAAAAGTTAAAATTACATACTAAGCCATAATGGCATAATAAATCATAATTATGATATTAAAAAGGTAAAAAATATTACATAATTCATAATCATGACATACTAAGTCATAATCAGGAAAATTATGTCATAGTCATATTTATGAGATAAAAAAGTTGAAATTAAGACAGTCATATTTATGAGATAGTCAAAATGATGTAAGTCATAATTATGAGATAAAAACTCGAAATTAGGCTATGTCATAGTCAGAATTATGACTCTGAATGTCATAATTTAGACTATTTAGTATGTCATAACTACGATTTACCAAAGACCAACCTGTCCATGTCTAATTTGACTTGATTCTTGATTCCACATGACAGATGAATTTGTGCCAAATACTGTAGAGTTTGATAAACTTTGATTGGACACACAACCTTTGACATCAACAACTAAAGATATCGAAAGAGTTTTCAACTCTTTTTAAAGGTTGTCAAGCCTATTTATTTCACCATCTTAATTCTGCATTTGGATGAATCAACATCTCAGAATAAAAAGGCTCAATAATAAAGTCATACAGCTTTTCTGCTCCTGTCGTCATATTAAATATTTCCTCTATTGCAGAAAATGTGGAAAAAACATTTCATTTGTCACACAATGACCACTATAGCAGCTAACTTCTATTTTAACAGTGTTAGAAATTTCAATTATTATATTACGGTATATTAGTTTATGTCTGTTTTTTTTTTTTTCAATTAGTATTATAATAAACTAATATAATTTTTAGGGATACAAAAATAAATTGGTGACTATATTAGTATCTGCCATAGCTATCTTTTGTCATATTGTCATGAAATAATCACAATGCTAAGGAATATTAATGCTAAGGAAAAACATTGTAACAACATTCTATTATTAATACTAGACAAACAAACACCGTTGAGAGCAGCAGTGAAATAATGTGGTTATTCATCTCATATGCTGCCATAAACAATCATACATACATACTAGAGACAATATTTGAATTAAAAGACAGTTTTATGTGAAATAACCGTGTCGTATAACGTTACTGTACACTTTAAACTGAAGAGATGTTCAGTTAATGTTACTTACTTTGATTCTCTCCACGCTGGCTTCAAGTTTGAGCTGCTTAACAGTCCGTCTCATGGTTGTGAGGGTTGAGTTTGAAGACATGGTTATGATTATTATTATGATTCCTATCAGGACAGATGAAGGGATGTGTGTCTGATGAGCGTGAGATGTTTCATGTGATGTGTGAGTGAAGCAGAACGACCGTTTATTTCCAGTCAGACTCAGAGAGCGCAGAGTGGGCGTATCTAATGGCGTGAACCTGGGCGTGGTTATGGGCGTGTCTGTGGGCGGGGCCTTGAGCGCGGCATAAGCGTTGTTTGAACTATTTGCCACAAAATTATAGAAAATGCACTGGCCATAAATATATCTTACCAGCCCTACCATGTATTTTGCATGCCAAAAAAAAAATAAAAAATCATGCTTACCCATAGATCATTCCAAACATACGACATAAGAAGTCGAAATTAAGACATTAAAAAGTCAATAAATCAATCATTTGATTAAAAAGTCGAAGTTTTGACGAAGTTATAAATATAAAGTCATAATTTCGACTAGTTTCGAAGATTAGATAGATAGATAGATAGATAGATAGATAGATAGATAGATAGATAGATAGATAGATAGATAGATAGATAGATAGATAGATAGATAGATAGATAGATAGATAGATAGATAGATAGATAGATAGATAGATAGATAGATAGATAGATAGATAGATAGATAGATAGATAGATTTACCAAATGTACCAATTTACCAAAGCATGATTTTTGGACATGGCGAACCTGTCGATATAAATATATAATATTATAGATATAAATATAATATACAAATATTATATATATATATATATATATATATATATATATATATATATATATATATATATACATTTCATGATGAAGACCTTTATTATGAAATAATTTCCGGTAGGTTGTCATCACAGTAGCTGCATTCACATTCACACTAACTGCTCTCTCGCGCTCGCTCTTCCTTATTCTGTCCACCAATGTTGTGATCGATTCGTGTCCATCATCATCACCAGTCATTACATTTATCGATAAAGGTAAAGCGTTTGCAATCGTTGTGATTTATTTCGCACAAAGATATACCCCATGACGTCATAACGCTCACGTGCTCTGTGTGTACAAAACGTCGTGCTTTCTTTGACGTAACGAGATGGCAACGGAACCAGCGTCCATGGAAACAGGCTTAAAATCGATATATAACTGCTTCTTAAAATTAATCTGTTGATTTTCCAGCACACAGATTGATGGAACTGATTCCTGTTCTCGAGCCAGAGGAGAAGCCTCGGGACAGACAGTGGTATCAGCTTGTTTCTCTGTCTTATAATGCAGTGTTGTGTGTAACTCATTACAAGTAACTTAATATGTAATCGGATTACTTTTTCAAGTAACTAGTAAAGTAACGCATTACTTTTCAAATTTACAACAAAATATCTGAGTTACCTTTTCAAATAAGTAACGCAAGTTACTTTGTTTTCCCATTTATTGACTGACAGCTCTCACTGTGTGTGTGTGTGTGTGTGTGTGTGTGTGTGTGTGTGTGTGTGAACATGATGGTTATTGTAGTTCTAATCTAGACTAAATGTGAGTGTGCATTTACTCATCTCACTTGCTCAAAAAAAGATTCAATATTCCTCAAAATGAATAAAATGCAGAATCAAACCTCCAATAACTAAATGTTACATAAAACATACATTTTTATGCATTTAATCTCACTTTATTAACCAATGTACTTGCTGCGATGATTCAGTTAAACCATAAGCAAAAATGACTATAGATTTTTTTGTGTTTATTGGTAAAGTAAGTGTTTAACTTTTTTCTCCTGCATCTTATTCTTCCATTATCCAGAAAATGTTTGTTTGAGCGGCGCCCTCTACTGTACTCTACTACTGTACTCTACTACTCAACTCTACTGTACTCTACTCTACTCTACTGTACTCTACTGTACTCTACTCTACTGTACTCTTACTCTACTACTGTACTCTACTCTACTGTACTATACTCTACTGTACTCTACTCTACTGTACTCTACTACTGTACTCTACTCTACTGTACTATACTCTACTGTACTCTACTGTACTATACTCTTCTGTACTGTACTCTACTCTACTGTACTCTACTGTACTCTTCTACTGTACTCTACTGTACTCTACTACCGTACTCTACACTACTGTACTACACTCTACTGTTCTCTACTCTACTGTACTATACTCTACTGTACTCTACTCTACTGTACTATACTCTACTGTACTCTACTCTACTGTACTCTACTACTGTACTCTACTCTACTGTACTATACTGTACTCTACTCTACTGTACTCTACTCTACTGTACTATACTCTACTGTACTCTACTCTACTGTACTCTACTACTGTACTCTACTCTATTGTACTATACTCTACTGTACTCTACTCTACTGTACTCTACTACTGTACTCTACTGTACTCTACTGTACTATACTCTACTGTACTGTACTCTACTCTACTGTACTCTACTCTACTGTACTATACTTTACTCTACTCTACTCTACTGTACTCTACTCTACTGTACTCTACTGTACTCTACTCTACTGTACTATACTTTACTCTACTCTACTGTACTCTACTGTACTCTACTCTACTGTACTCTACTCTACTGTACTATACTGTACTCTACTCTACTGTACTCTACTCTACTGTACTATACTCTACTGTACTCTACTCTACTGTACTCTACTACTGTACTCTACTCTATTGTACTATACTCTACTGTACTCTACTCTACTGTACTCTACTACTGTACTATACTCTACTGTACTATACTCTACTGTACTGTACTCTACTCTACTGTACTCTACTCTACTGTACTATACTTTACTGTACTATACTCTACTGTACTCTACTCTACTGTACTATACTCTACTGTAGGGATGCACGATATAGGATTTTGGCCGATATTCGATATGCCGATATTTTCAAACTAATTTTGCCCGATGCCGATACCGATACCGATATATTTGTATTTTTTTTTAGTGCAAAAAAAGCTTATTAAAGCTTCTATTAATGTTCTCAGTCAAGAGCAGTGAGTGATTTCCTCTGTGTTTTGTTGTTTTATTAACATTAATGGGATAGTTCTCCCAAAAATTTAAATTGTCATCATTTACTCTCTCAAGTTTCTTTCTTCTGTTGAAATTATAAAAGTTATTTGGAAGAATGTGGCTAACCAAACAGTTGCTGTACTTCAGTGACTTCCATAGTATATTTAAGCACAAGAAAGAAATGAATCCAGGTTTGAAACAACATTAGATAGACAGAATTTTTATTTCTGGGTGCAGTATCTCTTTAAAGACAAGCGGCAGAATATTATTACTGTCTCTTTAAGAACTGCACGCGAGTAACGCGACGCGTCTAATATACACGCATTTGACAAGCAGATTTTCTCTGTTTGCTTTCACTTTAGACATAACCAACTTTGTTTATGTAAACCGTGTGTGTATTTGATAGTATCAGCGCAATAAAGACTCGAAAGATTAGTCCAGTATGCAGGCGCTGTGACAGGCTTTTAGTTCCTGTGAGCGTCGGGTGTAACGCGCTCAGAAAAGCGGATGTTAGAACAGCGCATCAGCACGTGAATGACATGTTTACCTAGCAAGACTTTGACGCACATGCAAACAATTAACTTTTGTGAATTGCAGTGTCCCGTGAGTGTAACTCTACCTCTGCGTTTACATGTGATGTGAATGTACGTCGCGTTGTACAGTATGTTGAGATGAAGGCGCCAGAATTGAACTGATAGAATGCACGATACTATGATTTTTCTTCAAAAGCAGATCGTGGAGACATTTTAATCGTCCACGATCAAAAACCGCGTGAGACGCACACCCCTAGTTGGAAGTTTAAATTGCTGGCGCTCATGCTTCGTTCACGGTCGTCACGTGCGCATAGGAAACACGCCACCCTATCGGCAAGACTCATCGGCAGAAATATTCATATCGGCCGATGCCGATGATGGTCATTTTAAGCTTTTATCGGCTGATACCGATGTTGTCCCGATATCATCGTGCATCCCTACTCTACTGTACTCTACTCTACTGTACTCTACTCTACTGTACTCTACTACTGTACTATACTCTACTGTACTATACTCTACTGTACTATACTCTACTGTACTATACTCTACTGTACTATGCTCTACTGTGCTATACTCTACTGTACTGTACTCTACTCTACTGTACTATACTCTTCTGTACTCTACTCTACTGTACTCTACTCTACTACTGTACTATACTCTACTGTACTATACTCTACTGTACTCTACTCTACTGTACTATACTCTACTGTACTATACTCTACTGTACTCTACTGTACTATACTCTTCTGTACTCTACTCTACTGTACTCTACTACTGTACTATACTCTACTGTACTATACTCTACTGTACTATACTCTACTGTACTCTACTACTGTACTATACTGTACTCTACTCTACTGTACTCTACTCTACTGTACTCTTCTACTGTACTCTACTGTACTCTACTACCGTACTCTACACTACTACCGTACTCTACTGTACTCTACTCTACTGTACTCTTCTACTGTACTCTACTGTGCTCTACTACTGTACTCTACTGTACTCTACTCTACTGTACTCCCCTGTACTCTACTACTGTACTCTACTGTACTCTACTCTACTCTACTGTACTCCCCTGTACTCTAGTACTGTACTCTACTGTACTCTACTCTACTCTACTGTACTCTACTGTGCTCTACTACTGTACTCTACTGTACTCTACTCTACTCTACTGTACTCCCCTGTACTCTACTACTGTACTCTACTGTACTCTACTCTACTCTACTGTACTCTTCTACTGCACTCTACTCTACTCCACTGTAATCTACTGTACTCTACTACCGTACTCTACTGTACTCCACTGTACTCCACTACTGTACTCTACTGTACTCTACTGTCCTCTACTCTACTGTACTCTACTCTACTGTACTCTACTACTGTACTCTACTCTTACTCTACTGTTCTCTACTGTTGTTACTCTACTGTACTCTACTCTTACTCTACTGTACTCTACTCTTACTCTACTGTTCTCTACTGTTACTCTACTGTACTCTTACTGTACTGTACTCTACTCTTACTCCACTATACTATACTCCACTGTACTCTACTCTACTGTACTCTACTCTTACTCTACTTTACTATACTCTGCTGTACTCTACTCTACTGTACTCTACTCTTACTCTACTATACTCTACTGTACTCTACTTTACTATACTCTGCTGTACTCTACACTTACTCTACTGTACTCTCATTCTACTGTACTCTACTATACTCTACTCTTACTGTAATCTACTCTTACTCTACTGTATTATACTCCACTGTACTCTGCTCTACTCTACTCTTACTCTACTGTACTCTACTCTTACTCTACTGTACTCTTACTCTACTGTACTCTACTCTACTGTACTCTTACTCTACTGTACTCTATTCTACTGTACTCTGCTATACCGTACTCTATTGTACTCTTACTCTACTGTACTCTACTCTTACTCTACTGTACTCTGCTCTTACTCTTACTCTACTGTACTCTACTCTACTGTACTCTTACTCTACTGTACTCTATTCTACTGTACTCTGCTATACCGTACTCTATTGTACTCTTACTCTACTGTACTCTACTCTTACTCTACTGTACTCTGCTCTTACTCTTACTCTACTGTACTCTACTCTACTCTTACTGTACTCTACTCTTACTCTACTGTACTGTACTTTTACTCTACTGTACTCTACTCTACTGTACTCTGCTATACTCTACTCTACTGTACTCTTACTCTACTGTACTCTATTCTACTGTACTCTGCTATACCGTACTCTATTGTACTCTTACTCTACTGTACTCTACTCTACTCTTACTCTACTGTACTCTGCTCTTACTCTACTGTACTCTACTCTACTGTACTCTACTATACTCTACTCTTACTCTCCTGTACTGTACTCTACTCTTACTCTACTCTACTCTTACTCTACTGTACTCTACTCTTACTCTACTCTACTCTTACTCTACTGTCCTCTACTCTACTGTACTCTACTCTACTGTACTCTACTACTGTACTCTACTCTTACTCTACTGTTCTCTACTGTTGTTACTCTACTGTACTCTACTCTTACTCTACTGTACTCTACTCTTACTCTACTGTACTCTTACTCTACTGTACTCTACTCTTACTCTACTGTACTCTACTCTTACTCTACTGTACTCTACTCTTACTCTACTCTACTCTTACTCTACTGTACTCTACTCTTGCTCTACTCTACTCTTACTCTACTGTACTCTACTCTTACTCTACTGTACTCTTACTCTACTGTACTCTACTCTACTGTACTCTTACTCTACTGTACTCTACTCTTACTCTACTGTACTCTTACTCTACTGTACTCTACTCTTACTCTACTGTACTCTTACTCTACTGTACTCTACTCTTACTCTACTGTACTCTTACTCTACTGTACTCTACTCTTACTCTACTGTACTCTTACTCTACTGTACTCTACTCTTACTCTACTGTACTCTTACTCTACTGTACTCTACTCTTACTCTACTGTACTCTACTATACTCTTACTGTACTCTACTCTTACTCTACTGTACTCTACTGTACTCTACTCTTACTCTACTGTACTCTACTCTTACTCTACTGTACTCTACTATACTCTACTCTTACTCTCCTGTACTGTACTCTACTCTTACTCTACTGTACTCTACTCTACTGTACATGCATATATTTGCATTTCCTTCATCCTGAGGCTTTTTATTTTACTTTTGGTCTGAAAGGGTCTTTACATTTGCCCAAAAATATAACTTTTGTGATAAAAAAAACAAGCCCAGCCCAGGTGGAAAAAAAGTAACGCATAAGTAACTTAACGCATTAATTTTCTAAAAAAGAAACTAAGCAACGCAATTAGTTACTTTTTAAGGGAATAACGCAATATTGTAATGCATTACTTTTCAAAGTAACTTTCCACAACACTGGTCATATGTGTTTCTCTCGCAGTGCATTGGCTCTAACATGTGTGTGTGTGTGTGTGTGTGTGTGTCTCTCACTTAACAGTGTCGGAAATTTTAATTATTATATTAGTTTATGGTTTTTTTTTTTTACAATTATTATTATTTTTAGGGATGCAAAACTAAACTGGTGACTATATTAATATCTGCCATAGCTATCTTTTGTCATATTGGCATGAAATAATCACATCTACACAGTTCTGCTCGTTTTGAATGCTTAAGAAAAATATTGTAACAACATCTATTATCAATACTGTGTGTGTATAATTAAACACGTGTGTGTAGGTATGTGGTGTCGGCCTCAGGTGCGGCTCCAGGTGTTTCTGTGGGTCACACCTGTGTGTTTCTGCCCTCCGCTGATGGAGGCAAGGGGAGGATTGTAGTCGTCGGCGGAGCCAATCCTGACGGGAGCTTCTCTGATTCCTACATGATGAATCTAGGTAATAATAATGGGGTTACGGTCACGTGACCAGGGTATGAACTGGTTACAGTCTGAATAAATAAATTCATTCATTCATTAATAATCTAAATCAATAAATTAAACAAATAAAAAGTAGATTAAGTTATTTTAAAATTAATAAAAAATATTAAAATAAATAAAGAAATTAGATTAGAATAGATAACTAAAAACATAGGTAAATAAAAAGCAGGATAAAATAAATAAATCTAGGTAATAATGGGGGTCTGGTTACAGTCTTAATAAATAAATAAATAAATGAAATAAATAAATTAAACAAAAAGTAGATTAAATTATTTTAAAATAAATAAATAGAAAATATTAAAATAAATAAAGAAATTTAGATAAGAAGAATAGATAACTAAAAACATAAGTAAATAAAAAGGAGGATAAATAAATCTAGGTAATAATGGGGTCTGGTTACAGTCTTAATAAATAAATTAATAATCAAAATAAATAAATTAAACAAATAAAAAGTAGATTAAATTATTTTAAAATAAATAAATAAAAAATATTAAAATAAATAAAGATATTACATTAGAATAGATAACTAAAAACATAAGTAAATAAAAAGGAGGATGAAATAAATAAATCTAGGTAATAATGGGGTCTGGTTACAGTCTTAATCAATAAATTAATAATCAAAATAAATAAATTAAACAAATAAAAAGTAGATTAAATTATTTTAAAATAAATAAATAAAAAATATTAAATAAATAAAGATATTAGATTAGAATAGATAACTAAAAACATAAGTAAATAAAAAGCAGGATAAAATAAATAAATCCAGGTAATAATGGGGTCTGGTTACAGTCTTAATAAATAAATTAAAAATCAAAATAAATAAATTAAACAAATAAAAAGTAGATTAAATTATTTTAAAATAAATAAATTAAAAATATTAAAATAAATAAAGATATTAGATTAGAATAGATAACTAAAAACATAAGTAAATAAAAAGCAGGATAAAATAAATAAATCCAGGTAATAATGGGGTCTGGTTACAGTCTTAATAAATAAGTTAATAATCAAAATAAATAAATTAAACAAATAAAAAGTAGATTAAATTATTTTAAAATAAATAAATAAAAAATATTAAAATAAATAAAGATATTAGATTAGAATAGATAACTAAAAACATAAGTAAATAAAAAGGAGGATGAAATAAATAAATCTAGGTAATAATGGGGTCTGGTTACAGTCTTAATCAATAAATTAATAATCAAAATAAATAAATTAAACAAATAAAAAGTAGATTAAATTATTTTAAAATAAATAAATAAAAAATATTAAAATAAATAAACATATTAGATTAGAATAGATAACTAAAAACATAAGTAAATAAAAAGCAGGATAAAATAAATAAATCCAGGTAATAATGGGGTCTGGTTACAGTCTTAATAAATAAATTAAAAATCAAAATAAATAAATTAAACAAATAAAAAGTAGATTAAATTATTTTAAAATAAATAAATTAAAAATATTAAAATAAATAAAGATATTAGATTAGAATAGATAACTAAAAACATAAGTAAATAAAAAGCAGGATAAAATAAATAAATCCAGGTAATAATGGGGTCTGGTTACAGTCTTAATAAATAAGTTAATAATCAAAATAAATAAATTAAACAAATAAAAAGTAGATTAAATTATTTTAAAATAAATAAATAAAAAATATTAAAATAAATACAGATATTAGATTAGAATAGATAACTAAAAACATAAGTAAATAAAAAGGAGGATGAAATAAATAAATCCAGGTAATAATGGGGTCTGGTTACAGTCTTAAAGGGACAGTTCACCCAGAAATGAAAATTCTGTCAACATTTACTCACCATTCCAAACCTGTATGAGTTTCTTTCTTCTGTTGAACATTAAAAAAGATATTTTGAAGAATGTCGGTAACCAAACAGTTGATGGACCCCATTGAAAATACTTTTTAAAGTACTATGGAAGTCAATGGGGCATTGGTGACAAATGTTCCTCAAAATATCTTCTTTTGTGTTCAACAGACGAAAGAAACTCATACAGGTTTGGAACAACTTGAGGGCGAGTGACTGATGACAGAGTTTTTATTTCTGGGTGAACTGTCCCTTTAAAGCAGAGACTCTGTGAGATGTTGTATTTGTTTTGCAGATACTCATGAATGGGAGGCTCCAGAATGGGCGGGTTTGCAGGCGCGTTACGAACACTGTAGCTTCGTCCCCGAGATCGAGCCGAGGAGTGTGTGGGTGTTCGCTGGAGCCCAGAAGAGCGGGAACCGCAACTGTGTTCAAGTGCTGCGCGCATCAGGTGCATAAACACACACACATATTAACCTTGTGCATTCATACTGTACCAGTCTCACGTTTGGAATAATTAAGATTTGTTAATGTGTTTGTAAGAGTCTCTTCTGCTCACCAAGGCTGCGTTCATTTGATAAAAAATACATTAAAATTGTGAAATATTATTATAATGTTATAAAATATTATTATAAAATTATTATTATAATTTTCAGCATCTTTACTCCAGTCTTCAGTGTCACATGATCCTTCAGAAATCACTCTAATATGATGAGTTAATGATCAAGAAACATTTATGATTATTATCAGCTTATATCTTTGTGGAAACTTTGATACACTATCATTCAAAAGTTTGGAGTGAGATAGATTTAAAAAAGAAAAAAAATACAGTTGCTAGGGTGTTCTGGGTGGTTGCTATGGTGTTGCTAGGTGGTTGGTAGGGTGTTCTGGGTGGTTGCTATGGTGTTATGATTGGTTACTGGTGTTATTACTAGGATGGTCTGGTTGGTTCCTAGGGAATTACTAGGCGGTTGCTAAGGTATTCTGGTCGGTTGCTATAGTGTTGCTAGGTGGTTGCTTGGGTGTTCTAGGCGTCTGATAGTGTGATAGCAGTCGCTACTCGTCACATATGTTACTATGGAGTTTTTTTGCATGTTCTTAGCACGTTTTAGCACTTAGCTAAATCGCTATTAGCATGTAGCTACTAGCTATTCACTGCTAACATTTGTAGCATGTTGAAAGTCCTGTTTCCTAGCTTGAGTCAAAATAGTCAAACGCCCATGTTTATACGATGTTCTAGCAACACCCTAGCAACCACCCAGAACACCCTAGCAACTGCCTAGCAACACCATAGCAACAACCTGGAACACCCTAACTGCCTAGCAACCACCCAGAATACCTTAGCAACCACCTAGGATACCCTAGCAATCGCATAGCAACACCCTAGCAACCACCAAGATAAACCTAGCAACACCCTAACAACCACTCAGGATACCCTAACAACTGCCTAGCAACACCAAAGCAACCATCCAGAACACAATTGCAACCCCCTAGCAACCACCCAGAACACCTTAACAACCACCTATCAACACCATAGCAACCATTCAGAACACCATTGCAATGCCCTAGCAACCACCCAGAACACTTTAGCAAACCACCTAGCAACCAGGATACCCTAGCAACCAAGTGCCGAGTTTTGCCACGGCAAGCTACACTCACATTTTGTTCAGGAAATGTACATGACAGCTATTTTAAATTGTAATATTATTTCACTGTTTTTATTGTATGTTTGATCAAATAAACGCAATCTTGGACTTTCAAAATCATTGAATGAATCCAGAGGGTTTGTGGGAGACTGTGTCGGTGAAAGGAGATCCTCCCTCAGTCAGGACGTACCACACAAACTCAGCCTGCGTTGGAAACAGGCTCTACGTGTTTTCGGGAGGCGACGCCGGAGCAGATCCAGTCGCTGATACACATGTCCACGTCTTTGATTCAGGTCTGACAAACACAAGCACAAACACAAGAGCTTAAAGGGTTAAAGGGAAATGAAGCGTGATCGTGTATCTGCAGTCACTGCGACCTGGACTCGGCCGGAGAGCGACGGGACTCCTCCTACGCCGCGGCACGGTCACGCGATCACAGCCGTGGGGTCCGACGTCTACATCCACGGAGGAATGTCTGGAGAGACGCTTCACAACGACATGTTCCTGCTGGACACGGGTGGGTCGTCAGATCCACTGCTGGTGCTTGACTGATGTTTTCCCGCTATTTTCAAGTTGTTTTAGTACATCAAGTTACATTAAATTGAAATTAAAATCTAGCACTAACAAAGCCTAGCAACTAGCTTAGGACATTCTAGCAACGTGTTAAATCATGCTAGCAAAATGCTAAAACATACTAACAATGTGTTAAATCATGCTAGCAATATGTTAAAACATTCTTGCAATGAGCTAAATCATGCTAATTCACGTTAACAAAAGCTAATTAATTTTAGCAACATGTTAATTTATGTTAGCACATGTTAAACCATGCTAGTAACATGCTAAACCATGCTAGCAACATGTTAAAACATGCTAGCAACGTGATAAATTATGCTAGCAACATGCTAATTAATGCTAACAACATGATGTTAAAACATGTTAGCAACATGTTTTTTCATCCTAAATCATGATAACAAGTTAAGACATGTTAGAAACATGCTAAATCATCCTAGCAACATGATAATTCAGGCTAAAACATGCAAATTCAAGTTAACAACATCTTAGCAACATGATAATTCATTTTAGCAATGCTTTAAAACATGCTAGCAAAGTGCTAAATCATGTTAGCAACATGCTAATTTGTTTTAACAATGTGTTAAACATTTTTAAATCATGTTAGCAATGTTGTAAAACATGCTTATTCATGCTAACAAAGTGTTAAATCATGTTAACAATATGCTAAAACATGTCACTTCCTAGAGGATGATGTCATGCCCTTAGTTTCCTCAAAATACTGAAAGGCCAGGAAAACCTAGTAGTCACATTTATTTAAATGAAAAGGCTCAACTGTCCTCCTCATACTCATTGTTGTATTTTATAATGTTTTTCTCTCATGGCTGTTTAGAAACTATGAAATGGGAGAAAGTGAAAGCGAAAGGCGAGATCCCGCCGGGAGTGGCAGCGCATTCATCTGTAAGCTTTGGGAAAAACATCTTCATCTTTGGAGGAATGACATCGGAAGGAGCCACAAACTCCATGTACAAGTTTCAGTGCGGTACGAACTTATGATAATATCTCAAATAGTATTCAGCCTTTTGAATATTCAATACAGGTCTAAAGCACAAGACTTTTCTTAGACTTGACAATGTGTTCAATTTATTTAGCAATTTGATAAATCGTGCTATCAACATGCTAACTATGTTAACAACATGCTAATCATGCTAGCAATGTGTTAAATCTTGTTAGCAACATTTTAAATCATGCTAGCAATATGCTAAATCATGTTAGTAGTATGTTAAATTTTGCTATCAACATGCTAATCATGTTAACAATGTGCTAGCAATGTGTTAAATCTTGTTAGCAAACATGTTAAATAAGGCTAGCAACATGTTTAATCAGGCTAGCAACATGCTAAATCATGTTAGCAACATGTTAAATTGTGTTATCAACATGCTAATCACGTTAACAACGTGCCAGCAAATATTTTAATGCTAGCTACATGCTAAGTCATGCTAACAACGTGTTAAATCATGCTAACAATGTGGTAAATTGTTTTAACAAGATGGTAATCATGTTAGTAGTATGTTAAATTTGGCTATCAACATGCTAATCATGTTAACAATGTGCTAGCAATGTGTTAAATCTTGTTAGCAAACATGTTAAATAAGGCTAGCAACATGTTTAATCAGGCTAGCAACATGCTAAATCATGTTAGCAACATGTTAAATTGTGTTATCAACATGCTAATCACGTTAACAACGTGCCAGCAAACATTTTAATGCTAGCAAACATGCTAAGTCATGCTAACAATGTGTTAAATCTTGTTAGCAACGTGTTAAATCATGCTAACAATGTGGTAAATCGTTTTAACAAGATGGTAATCATGTTAGTAGTATGTTAAATTTTGCTATCAACATGCTAATCATGTTAACAATGTGCTAGCAATGTGTTAAATCTTGTTAGCAAACATGTTAAATAAGGCTAGCAACATGTTTAATCAGGCTAGCAACATGCTAAATCATGTTAGCAACATGTTAAATTGTGTTAGCAACATGCTAATCACGTTAACAACGTGCCAGCAAACATTTTAATGCTAGCAACATGCTAAGTAATGCTAACAATGTGTTAAATCTTGTTAGCAACGTGTTAAATCATGCTAACGATGTGGTAAATTGTTTTAACAAGATGGTAATCATGTTAGTAGTATGTTAAATTTTGCTATCAACATGCTAATCATGTTAACAATGTGCTAGCAATGTGTTAAATCTTGTTAGCAACATGTTTAATCAGGCTAGCAACATGCTAAATCATGTTAGCAACATGTTAAATTGTGTTATCAACATGCTAATCACGTTAACAACGTGCCAGCAAACATTTTAATGCTAGCAACATGCTAAGTCATGCTAACAATGTGTTAAATCTTGTTAGCAACGTGTTAAATCATGCTAACAATGTGGTAAATCGTGTTAACAAGATGGTAAATCATGTAATGTGTTAATTCATGCTAGCATCATGTTAAATCATGTTAGCATGTACATCAAGTTAAACTGTTTAGCCAAAAAAAATTATACTTTTTTTTTGTTTTTTTCAGTTTACATTACATTTTTGGGGAGGGGGGGGATTTAGTTAACTATACTGTTACAAAATGAATAAATGTCAAATAAAATATAAAATCAAATCAAAATATCATCAAAGCATCTAAAGGTTTCTTCTGCCCGACAGACGAGCGGCGCTGGACGCTGCTGCAGTTCGAAGGGGATCTTCCTCCGGCCCGGTTGGATCACTCCATGTGTTCGGTGCCGTGGCGCGTGACGACGGCGGGCCGAGAAACACGCGACGAAGACGAGCAGCGGCTGTGCTTCATCTTTGGAGGAATGGACACGCAGGGCGTCATATTCAACGACTGCCTCGTGACGCTGCTCACGTGAAACGCTCAATAAATGTGTCTGTCTTAAAATGGCTGAACTGATGTCACTAAAGTTCCTTTGAACCCGAAGATCTGTTCATTCAACAAGATTTCCAGCGTAAAAACTATAAACTCGACATTGAGACGCTTCATCAATGAAGGGGAATCTCTGAGATGTACTTTTTGGTTTTAATCCGGTTCGATTGCCGATTATATAAACCTAATCTTTACATTCATGCCGACTTCTACGAAAAACTTCTACAATTAATTTGAATTGAATTTATTTATTGTTAAATCATGTCAGCAATGTGCTAAATCATGCTAAAGACATGCTACATTGTGCTATCAACATGCTAATCATTCTAACAACATGCTAGCAATGTGTTACAAAATCTTGTTAGCAACGTTTTAAATCATGCTATCAACATGCTACTCATGCTAACAACATGCTAACAACGTGTTCAATCTTGTTAGCAACGTGTTAAATAAGGCTAACAACATGCTAAATCATGCTAGCAACCTGTTAAATCATGAACCTGAAGATCTGTACGATTCAAGATTTTCAGCGTAAAACTATAAAACTCAACATTGAGACGCTTCATCAATGAAGGGGAATCGCTGAGAATTACTTTTTGGTTTTAATCCGGTTCCATTGCCGATTATATAAACCTAATCTTTACATTTTATGCCGACTTCTACGAAAAACTTCTACAATTAATTTGAATTGAATTTATTTATTGTTAAATCAGGACAGCAATGAGCTAAATCATGCTAAAGACATGCTACATTGTGCTATCAACATGCTATGTTAACAACGTGCTAATTATTCTAACAACATGCTAGGAATGTGTTAAATCTTGTTAGCAACGTGTTAAATAAGGCTAACAAGAAGTTAAATAATGCTAGCAACAAGTTAAATCATGAACCTGAAGATCTGTTCGATTCAACAAGTTTTTTAGCGTAAAAACTAAAACTCAACATTGAGACGCTTCATCAATGAAGGGGAATCGCTGAGAATTACTTTTTGGTTTTAATCCAGTTTGATTGCCGATCATATAAACGTAATCTCTGCATTCATGCCGACTTCATAAATATTAGAGAAATTTCTACAATAATTGAATTGTACGTTTGAATTTTTTGGGACAAATACATACAGGGTTTCTCAAAATTTTGTTTGAACGTTGATGAAAAGCTAATAATTAAATCGTAGGTGTAAAATTAAAGTAACTAAAAAAAAATCAAATTAAATGAGTGCTGTCAGATTCATCTTGATTAATTGCATCTAACATTAAAAATATATATAAACATATTTACAAGCTTTTATGTTAGATGTGATTAATCGACTTGACAGCACGAAAATACATACTTACTGAAATAGTAAAATATTGTATTTGTTTACCTGTATGTCAAACCATGAATATCTGAATGTGTTGTTAAATTATTGACATTAACTTAAAATATCAGGGGAATTTTGACTCGAGTTCAGCTGCCAAAAAGAAATAAAAAAGAACCTGAATAAAGTCCCTGTTTTAATGGATTAAAAAAAAAATTAAGTACATTTCAGGGCAACAAAATAATTTTTCTCAGTTCATTTTAGACATGACATTTGAATTCAAGAGACACTCATTCTCTCTCTCCTTCACACACACACTCTCTCTCTCTCACAAACACAGACTTTGCCAAGTCATGTTCCTGGATCAACATTCCTGTACATATTAAATCCTAATCCTCTACCCCTAGACTCAAACCGAATTCATCCCATAACTTCTGCCTGAAACCAGAGGGAAACAGTGAACAACACTGATGTAGAAGCACTAGCTCTCTGCAAGCCTAAACTCGTCCCTCAGATCTGATTGGCTGAATGTTGATCAAGGAACATGTACTTGGTGACATCACAGTCATACAAACTCACTAACACGCACACACAAACTCACTAACACAAAATACCTCACACAAACTCTCACTAACACACAAACTCACTAACACACACAAACTCACTAACACACACAAACTCACTAACACACACAAACTCACTAACACACACAAACTCACTAACACACACAAACTCACTAACACACACAAACTCACTAACACACACAAACTCACTAACACACACAAACTCACTAACACACACAAACTCACTAACACAAACTCTCACTCACACAAAATACCTCACACACAAACTCTCACTAACACACACAAACTCTCACTCACTAACACAAAATACCACACAAACTCACTCAAAATACCTCACACACAAACTCACTAACACTCACACAAAATACCACACACACACAAACTCATTAACACACACACTCACTAACACACACTCACAAAATACCACACACACAAACTCATTAACACACACACACTCACTAACACACACAAACTCACTAACACAAAATACCTCACACAAACAAACTCACTAACAGACACTAACTCTCACTCTCACTAACACACACAAAATACCTCACACACAAACACACAAACTCTCACAAAATACCTCACACACAAACTCACTAACTTTTACCCACACAAACTGATGTAGAAGCCTACATTTGACACTGTAAACTCGTTCCTCAGATCTGATTGGCTGAATGTCGATCCAGGAACATGTCCTTGATGACGTCACGTTCACACACACACACAAACACACGTGGTGATTTTGTATCAAACTTTTATTGTTTAATCGTGGTAGAAATATCTTCTACAGTTTGCCAGATTTCAATAAATAACTTTTAGCATGTCAGATGAAACTTTACCCAGAACCCCCTCCTCCCCCCTCCCAGAACTGCCTGAGAATAGCAGCATCGAGCCTCAAAACCAGGCTAAATCTCCACCGGAGTGAAGAGAAAACAACAACAACTCTTTAACACAAGTCTTTCCCCGAAGAGATTCGTGGCTTCACGGCCGCCGGCTTCGTACAAAAAAGTTCAATATGTACATCATCTCCATGCGCATCTACAGCTCGTCCTTGTCTCCCTGCTCCTCGCCCTCCTCCGGCGGCGGCCCGCCAGCGCTACCGTACAGCTTGCTAACGATAGGCTGAACGATCTCCTCCAGCTCCTTCTTCTTGGCCTGGAAGTCCTCGATGTCGGCTTCCTGGTGCGACTCCAGCCACTCGATCTTCTCCTCCACCGCCTTCTCGATCGCCTCCTTGTCTTCGGTGGACAGCTTCCCGCCGAGCTTCTCCTTATCCCCGATCTGGTTCTTCAGGGAGTAGGCGTAGCTCTCCAGCTCGTTGCGCGAGTCGATCCGCTCCTTCAGCTTCTTGTCCTCGTCGGCGAATCGCTCGGCTTCGTTCACCATGCGCTCGATGTCCTCGGGCGTCAGCCGGTTCTGGTCGTTGGTGATGGTGATCTTGTTCTTGTTCCCGGTGCCTTTGTCCTCGGCTGTGACGCGCAGGATGCCGTTGACGTCGATCTCGAACGTGACCTCGATCTGAGGGACGCCGCGAGGGGCCGGGGGGATCCCGGTGAGGTCAAAGGTCCCCAGAAGGTGGTTATCTTTGGTCAGGGGACGCTCACCTGGAGAGAGAGAGAGAGAGAGAAGCAGAACAGATTAATTATGTGATCCGACATTAAATGTGAAATGCGTTTCTAAAGTGAGGGACATATTTGATGTTAGCGTTATCGGCCCGATAAGAAAATGTGTCTGATATATTAAAGCCGATAAATAATGTATTATTTCCTTCAGCTGAGACGCTTCAGAAGCGCACTGTTCAACATGATGATTATGAATTGCTTGAAATATGATTGGAATCACTTCAAAAAAGGAAAATACAGTAAAGAGCACAAGCCTGTCATATCGGCTACACAACATTATCATTAGAACATCATAATTGTGTGTTTGGGACGTGGATTTTAATGATGAGACTTTTGTTTTTGTAATCAGGCTCTCAAAAATTATATAAAAATCTGGATTTAGATTTATCAGCCGATATATCGGTTATCGACTTTCAAATATAAAGAATTATCGGTTATCGGACAATTTTCACATCGGTGCATCTCTAGGTTGTGTGATATACAGCCAAACACCAGATATCATTTTATATTTGTTCACTAGTGTGTGCAAAAAATTGGGATTAATAATGATTCCTCCACTTTGAGCTGATGATGTTCTGCTGAAGTGTGTTTTCTGTAACTGCTAATGCTCTTTTTACACACACACTGAACAACATGAAGCATTGCTTGGTCACTGGTTGAGCTAAACTGGTATTCTCTAATTGTGGAGTTAAATTTACCAGCTGACAGATATTCAACATAATTCATGTGTGAGAGTCGAACAGAAGGACGGACAAAACCAGTCAAATATCCACTGATTCTTGTCATATTTTATTAGCATTTTTGAAACTATAGCGAATAAACTGTGATAATGTGAGAAATGTTGAAGGCGTCGGAGTAAATGCCCATAAAAAAGGTTAAAAATCAATTTAATCTTATTGGAAGAGATGATTTCTGTTCTAAACCTGTCAAGATACCAACACAAAATATCGTCTAATCATCGTTAGAGAAAACCCCAGAAAATATAAAAGATGCAATTGTGTCAATATCACACACCCCAATTCTGACGGATTATGAAACTCAAAAAAATGTGGCAATATGACCTGTGACGAGGACGCGTGTGTGTGTGTGTAATCGCTGAGTTCAGCCGTTGGCGCTGAGATCGCCGGCTCACCTTCGTAAACTTTGATGGTCACGGTCGGCTGGTTGTCGGAAGCCGTGGAGAAGATCTGGGATTTCTTGGTGGGAACGACGGTGTTCCTAGGAATGAGTTTGGTCATCACTCCTCCAACGGTCTCAATGCCCAGGGTCAAAGGGCACACGTCCAGGAGCACCAGGTCACCTGATCAACAGAGTTCAGTCATTAACCAGCGCACACACACAAGGGTCGTTCGACTGGCAAAGACGTTTTTAAACTGGATTATTGTTCAAGTTAAAGTTCAAATTTATCTGTACAGCACATTTAAAAACAAACACCGTTGACAAGTCTCGGAACATCTGATTGGACGATAGGGCTGCACGATATTGAAAAAAAAATGCGATATCTCATTAAATAATGCGATACGATAATGCTTAAAGTGTGTAACAAACTTAAATTCTCTTTAAAGTTATATAACCTACATATGCGTTTCACATTCAGTGAACATCAGTGTTTTACTGTCGCATAAGAAGTGTTATTAACATCAGTGTGTTCAGGTTATCCTACATTAGAGTTATTAACTACAGAAACTGAATAATCACATGTACAAATAAACACTTCGTTTTCACTGTATGAATTAAGAACAGGTGAAACTCGAAAAATGAGAATATGGTGCAAAAGTTCATTTATTTCAGTAATTCAACTTAAAAGGTGAAACTAATATATTATATAGACTCATTAAATGCAAAGTGAGATTTCTCATAATTTTGATGATTATGGATTACAGATATGAAAACCTTTTCACAATATTCTAATTTTGAATTTGGGGTTTTCATAAGCTGTAAGCCATAATCATCACAATTATAACAAATAAAGGCTTGAAATATCTCACTTTGCATGTGATGAGTCTATATAATATATTGGTTTCAGCTTTTAAGTTGAATTACTGAAATAAATGAACTTTTGCACCATATTCTCATTTTTCCAGTTTCACCTGTACATACTGATTCTTATTAAAGCTACAAAAGTTATTCAGCGAGTGATTTTCTCTGTCTTTTGTCAAGCCGTTGAGATATGCATATCCCGATATATACATACGCAATATTTGGATATATTGCGCAGCCCTACTGGACGACCTCAGTGCTTTGACAGGAGTGTGTATGTAAAAGCTCTGATAAACAAGGCGCCGCCAACCCATTCAACACCTTAAAAACACAAGCAATCAAACTCACCGGTGTCCTCTTCTCCGGACAGAACCCCGGCCTGCACCGCGGCGCCGTACGCCACCGCCTCGTCCGGGTTGATTCCTCGGGACGGCTCTTTGCCGTTGAACAGCTCCTTCACCAGTTGCTGGATCTTCGGGATTCGAGTGGATCCTCCGACCAGCACGATCTCATCGATGTCGGTCTTCTTCAGGTCCGAATCCTCCAGAACCTTCTGCACCGGCTTCATGGTGGAGCGGAACAAGTCCTGCACACACACACACACAGGGTTACTTCAGGGTCACTAGAAAAATATTATAGCATTTATTCATATTTGGATTTAGGTTTTGTTTTGATATTTTCAGTTTCATTTTGGGTAAAGTTATAATTAAAATTGTGACTTTTGTCATTTTTATTAGTTTAAAAGTTGAACAGGTTTTAATAAATAAAAATTAGACCTAATAAAAAGATAGATAGATAGATATATATATACAAAACTAAAAATGAAAATGTAATAAGGCTTTATATTTTAGTTTTATTTTAATATTTCCATTTAGTTTGAGTTAGTACTACAGTAAAAATGTATGAATAAAAAAATATTTAAAAACTAAAACAAGATAAAACTAATATAAATACTTATTTCTGTTTTAGTTTAAATATTTTTTTATTCATACATTTTTACTGTAGTACTAACTCTAAATAGAAATAAGTATTTATATTTTAGTTCTATCTTGCATTTTCTATTAGTTTAATATTTCCATTTTGTTTATTTTCATTTGAGCAATTTAGGACTTAAAAATAAACTAAATAGAAATAAACGAATACGAAATACAAATATTGAAGTAGAAGTTCTCATCGAACATTTTTATTTTTTATTTCCTTTTGGGTTTTTTATATTTCTATTTATTTTTATTCATTTTCAATTCCCTTTCAGTTTAATATTTCTACTTAGTTTATTTTAAAAAGGAAATAATAAATACAAGTTCTCATCTAATATACATTTTATTTCAGTTTTATTTTTTTAATATTTCAATTTATTTTAGTAATTTAGTACGGTAATCAAGTACATAAATGAATAACTAGGTGGAAATCAACTCTACATTCATATTAAATACATTTCAGTTTTATTTATTTTTCTAATATTTCTATTCACTTTATTCATTTATTACATACTATACTTCTAAAATAAAAATCAATAAACTACATAGAAATAAATAAACTAAGAGAATATTAAAAATAGTCAAGTTCCCTGATCTAATCTGCTGTATTAGAGTGTGTCCTCTCACCATGTTGAGCTCCTCAAACTCGACTCAGCGTTTCAGAGAAGTGCTAAGACTATACATTTTATTTCAGTTTTATTTAAAATTCTAATGTTTCTATTTAGTTTTTATTGATTTTTTTTTCTTCTTCAAAGCATGATCTAATCTGCTGTGTTGGAGTGTGTGTCCCCTCACCATGTTGAGCTCCTCGAACTTGGCCCGGGTCAGTGTTTCGGAGAAGTCCTCTCCCTCGAAGAAGGACTCGATCTCGATGCGGGCCTGGTGCTGGGCGGACAGCGCTCGCTTGGCCTTCTCCACCTCGCGCCGCAGCTTCTGCACGGCCCGGTTGTCCTTGCGCACGTCCTTGCCCGTCTTCTTCTTGTAGAGTTTGATGAAGTGCTCCATGACGCGCTGGTCGAAGTCCTCTCCGCCCAGGTGAGTGTCCCCGTTGGTGGCCACCACCTCGAACACGCCGTTGTCGATGGTCAGCAGGGACACGTCGAAGGTGCCGCCGCCCAGGTCGAACACCAGGATGTTCTTCTCTCCGTCTTTCTTATCGAGGCCGTACGCGATCGCAGCCGCCGTTCTGTGGAGAGCAGCGCAGGGGTTACGAGCGCTCACTACACACACACTCGGTACTTGAAATTTAATAAATCAACTAAATTTGAAATGTTGCTTTTATTTTTTTTCAGTTTAACTTGTACTAAAACTGAAAAATAAAATATAAATTCTTAAAAAAAGTTATAAAAAATAAAAATAAAAAGTTACTACAATGACTAAAATCAACATTTCAAATTTGTTTTGTTTCACTTCAATAAAATAAATTAAAAAAACATATGCATTTTTAAAAAAGTGAAATTATACAAACAGAATAAACAAATATTTTTAATTGAAAAAAAAAAAGTTATATAAAAGGGATAAAAACAATTTTTTTTAAATAGTAAAAAGATTACTACACTTGCCTAAAATTAATTAAATATATATCCTTAAACTTATATTTCAGCTAGTTGTCAATGCAACTTTTCTTATTTGTTTAGTTTAACTTGAAGTATGAAAATAAACTGTTTATTAAATAAAAAAATACAATTACTAAACTTAACTAAAATTTAAATATATCAAATCTTATTTTATTTCAGCTAGTTGTCAATGCAACATTTCTTAGTTTTATTTAACTCGAGTACTAAAATAACTCAAATGAAAACTATGAAAAATAAATAGACAAAACAACAAATTTACTAAATCAACATTTCGAATGCGCGTTTAGTTTATTTTGAAGTACTAAAATGAACTGAAACCTATACACAAAATAAAAAAGAAAAGTTAAACCTAACTAAAACTAAGTGTATAAAAACATATCCTGTCATATATATAAAAAAAAGTTATACACATAAAAAAAAAAAAAACATATATTAATGATACTAAAACAACACTGATGTGGATTTACACTGAGACTTACGGCTCGTTGATGATCCTCATGACGTTCAGGCCGGCGATGGTTCCGGCGTCTTTAGTGGCCTGGCGCTGAGCGTCGTTGAAGTAAGCGGGAACCGTGACCACAGCGTGCGTGACCTTTAACAAGAGCACAAGCCAATCAGACGTCGAGCTCGTCGCCTCAGCGATTCCTCTGCGTGTGTGTGATCAAACCGTTACCTTCTTTCCCAGGTACGCCTCAGCGGTCTCCTTCATCTTCGTCAGAACCATGGCGGAGATCTCCTCCGGCGCAAACGTCTTCATCTGGCCGGAGCCGATGTCCAGCTGGATGTGAGGCTTGTTCTTCTTCTCGATCACCTGGAGACACGGAGCAGGAGTTAAAGCGACGGCTCACACCAAACTGAAGAGTGTTGCTCTTTTGGCGCAAGTCGACTTGCGTACGGCCGTCTGCCGGAGGCTATTATTACAGTCGATAGTTTTAAATATGGATATTTTTCTTACACTAACGCATCACTTCAGACAGATGCACTTTTATGATGGACAGATGCACTTTTATGATGGACAGATGCACTTTTATGATGGATAGATGCACTTTTATGATGGACAGATGCACTTTTATGATGGACAGATGCACTTTCATGATGGATAGATGCACTTTTATGATGGATGGATGCACTTTTATGATGGACAGATGCACTTTCATGATGGATAGATGCACTTTTATGATGGACAGATGCACTTTTATGATGGATAGATGCACTTTTATGATGGACAGATGCACTTTTATGATGGACAGATGCACTTTCATGATGGATAGATGCACTTTTATGATGGATGGATGCACTTTTATGATGGACAGATGCACTTTCATGATGGATAGATGCACTTTTATGATGGACAGATGCACTTTTATGATGGACAGATGCACTTTTATGATGGATGGATGCACTTTCATTTTAATATGCGATACGATAATGCTTAAAGTGTGTAAAATAAACTTAAATGATCTATAAAATATATTTAAAATTATATATTTTTCAAATTATTTTTGTGACAGTAACACATCCCTACAGCTTCTGGAAGTGAACATCAGTGTTTTACTGTCGCATAAGAAGTGTTATTAACATCAGTGTGTTCAGCTTATCCTACATTAGAGTTATTAACTACAGAAACTGAATAATCACATGTACAAATAAACACTGCTTAGTTCACTGTATAAACCGATTCTTTTTAAAGCTACAGAAGTTATTCAGCCGAGAGCAGCGAGTGATTTTCTCTCTCGTGTTCATGATGTTGTTATTGCAAGCCGTTGTGATATGCATATCCCGATATATACATCTGCAATATTTTAATAATTCCTATATATTGTGCAGCGCTAACGCATGGCTTTGGCTCAACACCGGCTGTACCTTAAAGGGAAAGTATTTGATGTCCTGCTGCACGGCGGAGTCGCCCCATGTTCGGCCAATCAGACGCTTGGCATCGAAGACCGTGTTCTCGGGGTTAGAGGTCAGCTGGTTCTTCGCCGCGTCCCCGATGAGACGCTCTCCTTCGGTGGTGAAGGCCACGTATGAGGGAGTGATGCGGTTTCCCTGGTCGTTCGCGATGATCTCGACACGCCCGTTCTTGAACACGCCAACACTGAGGAAACACGAGGAAACAGTGTGAGGACACGGCATAATCTTCATTATAGAGTATAATGTTCTAAAGCAGAGCATGCATGCGTGAATATATACATAGTTAAAAAAATAATATATATATATATATATATATATATATATATATATACACACATCATAAATGTATCATTTTTTTAAATAATTTAAGTATATAAAATGTTGTATATATTTTCGTATTAAATATTTTTACAATATACTTTGGTCTAGTTAAAAAAAAATATGTATATATAAATTAATAAAACATTTAATTTAAATATATATGAATTAAATTTAAATAAAATTATACAAATTATATTAATTTTATAAAGGAGGGTGTATTTCTTATTTAATATATTATTTATATAATTATATATTTTGTTCTGTTACATTATACACTTTTCAACAAATATTTAAATTTATATAAACATTTTAAATAAAAAAATATGTTAACAAAAGATTATATTAAATAAAAAAAACATTGGTTTTCTATTTTATTTAATACATTATTTTTTATAGTTATACATTGTTCTAGTTGAATATATATAAATTAATAAATTCAATTATATTAATATATATATATATAAATAAATAAAATGATGTGTATTCTTTATTAAATATATTATTTTTATAATTATATATTTTATTCTAGTTGAATATAAAAAGTACTTATATATTTATTGAAAATTGTGTATGTATGTATATATATATATATATATATATATATATATATATATATATATATATATATATATATATATATACACACACACACATTTTAAATAAAAAGTCTAAAAAATAAATAAATTCCATAAATAAATTATATAAAATATAGGTTTAATATTTTATGAAATATATTATTTTTTGAGTTCTATATTTTGTTCTAGTTGAATAAGAAATATATATAAATTATTAAAAATGTCAACTGAATGAATTAATATATATATATATATATATATATAGTGTGTGTGTGCGTTTATAAAAAAATATTTAGATTTATTTATTTTTTCTTGGAAATAAATTCTATTGACTGCATATGAATTCAAACTCGTTCTCACCATGAGTATGTGGTCCCGAGGTCTATTCCCACCACCGTCCCAACACTCTCCCTCTTATCATCCTCATCGGCGAACACAGCGCCGGCCACCAGCACACACAGGCAGAGCAGTCGCATCTCAGCAGGGCTGGCTCAGGGCTTCTGGAAAGAACACATACAAAACTAATGTCAAAGGTCAGGGCAGGTACAGAACACAGTAAACGTCACTCACTGGCTGGAAGTGTGGCCTATTTTAAAAAAACAAGAAAAAAAAATACATCTTCATGCAAAAACTCAATGTATTATGCATTATATTCTAGATATTTTAACCCAAAATGGCATAAATTGATGCACTGAATTCAGCTGCAGCTCAAAATGAAAGTAATGAGAGAACACTAAAATCCATAATTAAAGGCCATTTATCAATGCAAACAATGGACACCATTTTCCAAAAAAATAAACACACACACACATCAGAAGCAAATATGATGGTCACATGAATAAGTCATATTCATGTAACTTACAGTCAGTATCCAGTTCAACCTCGTGCTGCTAAATCCCTGATCACCAAATACTCATTGCAATGACTCCAAATATTAATATTACTATTATCATTGTAATACACACTCAAAATCCCATAACATTTTAAAACACATTTATTATCGAAACCCATTTAAGATGAAGACATTGTTCCTCATATTTCACCGGTTACTATCTAATGGATATACATTTCTCAAATCTATCCAGTCATAATGGCTTAACGCTAATAATAATACACAGCTTAATGCTGATAATAATATACATTCTTACCTGATAATGCAGTAATACGCAGTAATCTCAAGGGCGTGGGCTTGAACGCAGTGAATGTCTCTTTTTCTCTCAGTGTTTCTCTTGTTTTCTGTCTCTCAAATGTAACTCATGGCTCTGCGCTCGCCTGTATATAAGCCGTCACCGCGTCCCCGTCGTGGAGCCTCGCTATTGGTCAGAGAGCAGCTCGTTGGAAGGCGCTCATTGGCTGAGCGTTGCACGCTGGCTGATGCTGATTTGCACACGTACGGGTGGCGGAAACGTCATCAGATGAGGCGAACTGGAGCGATTCCATTGGCTTGCGCGAGTGTCAGTCAGATTGCGAAGATTATGGATGGAGGAGGGTCGCATTTGAACCGGGCCGAGAAATAGAAATAGTTCGAGAGTCCTTAATCAAAAACTCAGGTTTACACATTTTACATACATATATACATTGGCATGTGACTCTGCTGTTCTCAAAATAAGCATTTAGGCTTGGAGTATATGGAGGTCTCCGTCAATTCATTTTCAAACGAGGAAAAGTGTGTTTAAAAGCAACTGTACATTATCATATTGCATTGCTGCAAAACGAATACAGTAATATATGGACATGAAAGTTCGATTTGAGTGTAAATTAGTTTATGGTGGGAGAACAGTGTCATAAGATAAACTCACTTGACTGAGACTATGATAAATTATACAGTTTTGCCTCGTATAAAAATGTTTGACAATTTATCAAACACTAATAGTCAGATTATTTAACCATTGAGGGTCAACGAAGAATCTGTGTGTGAAAATATGGCATATTCACTATATTTCTGTTGTTTGGACGGTGACTCATTGGGCAGAGTATTAGCAAAACTATCTGGATACAAAAAACAAATGAATTTCTGTGTTATGTAATAATGTAATAATGATGCAATGATAAGGAACAACCTGACAGTGTTTTTCAGTATGTTTCAATTGAGTCAAAATTACACTAGTACTGCATTAGTTCTAAATGATCTAGTGGGGTTTTTGACATATTTTTGACCAATTAACTTGGATCATTATACATCTCTGAATTTATTTAGAATTTACCATTTTGTATTTGTACATTTCATATACCAACCGTGAAAATTATTTACAGGGTAAGTAGTTCATCATGTCATTCACTGAATACTAGTGTGTGGAAATAATATTTCTGATTTTCAACCATTGGTTTGTCTGGTAAAATATGACTCCAATCTGGATTTGTTTTTATACAATAAAAAATGTTCATGGAAAGTCCCAGAGTAGAAATTCACCCCAAAACATTTAGTCCTGGTCCGCTTAGCGTTCTCATTGGCATTTCTATCACCAAACCTAATACAGAATCTGGGATATGTTCACAACCTGATTGGTTGGCTTAGATTGTGACTGATTGTGTCTTTTATTAGTTATATTTCGCAATGAAACTTACCGAACATCCAAAACAATGCTGTCTTCTGGGTTAAATGCGCTGTAAGTGTAAGTGCCTAGACTACATATAATGGTATTCTGACCAGCTGACTGAGTAAAGGACTCAAAACAGCACCAGGAATCCCTCTGTCAAACACAAAGATCTATGACCTTTTTAGGGTCGCACCTTGTGACATCATGTCCTGTTTTTGGTTCGTTTACATGTCTTTAGTCTCAATAGTAGCGTTTACACTTATTCAAATGAACCACACTGACAGAGGTAAACGCACCAGGGTTTGTTTTAATTGAACCAAACATGCCAAGTGTGAACACACCCAGAGTAACACCACATTTCTGAGGACTTTCATTACAAATGAATGCTAGGGTAATAAAGTTAAGCTAGTATACTTATCTGGTCTGGCCTACTTCTTCATATACTCTTCGGCTTGAATGTATAGAGGGTTCAGTCAATTCATTTTCAATTGAACAAAATGATGTCTGAATTGCGTCATTAAATCTAACTAGGGATGCACCGATATCAACATTTTTGGCCGATCCCGATAATTCTTTATATTTGAACGCCGATAACCGATATATTGGCCGATAAATCTAAATCCAAATTTTTATAAAATTTTTGAGAGCCTTGTTACAATTACAATGTTCTCATTATAATTTTATAGCCGATATGTTACTCTTTACTGTATTTTCCTTTTTTGAAGTGATTTCAATCATATTTCAAGCAATTCAAAGCCATCATGTTGAACAGTGCGCATCTGAATTGTCTCAGCTGTGGGATTTAATCAAGTATTTATCGGCTTTAAGATATCGGCCAAATTTTCTTTATAAAAAATTAAAAATGAACATATAGCGGCCGATACCGATATGGTGGCCGATATATCGTGCATCCCTTAATCTAACCAATGTCAAAAACAAAGAATAAAGCAGAACAAAGCAAACATATACAAAGATAAAAACTGCAGAGCACAACTTGTGATTTATTGACTTGCAAATGTGCAACAATACAGTCATTTCATCGGAACACTTCAGTGCAGAAACATGAGGCGTAGGTGGAGTAAGACCCGGTTGTTTATACATGTAGCTAGTCATTTTTTGGAGCCCGTACCACTGAATATCTTGCAGTGCATATAGGCGAGTTTCTCGGCATGTGAGCGTCGCAACAAGGGAAACCATTCCCAATGCGGCAGCTCTACGACTCTGTACCCGGACAGAACGAGTTGCCTTCGCTTCAATGCATGAAATCCAAGAAGCTGCTCAGTCCGGTAGCAATACTGATTCCTATTCGTCACTTGAACAGCAAGTCTCTGAATAGATGGTTTAGAAGAATCATCCGTATAAGACGAGCGCTCCCCGGATTTGGTCAACGCCATCAGAAGATTGTCCGTCAAGTCAACACCAACACTGAAAACGCTTTCTCTCACATGGACCGGTTCAACAGTGTGAACCACTGGGTTTTGGAGGAACTTGTTGGACGGCTGCACTGGAATCTTCTGGGAATTAGTTAGTTGAGCGAGTAGGTTGTCAGTTATGGTTACTCCAGAGAGTGTTTGTTCCCAGCTTTGAGAGGCGGGATTTTGCTGACAAGGTTCGGAGGACACAGGAACAGGTTGGTCGTTTTGGTCCAAGTGCACTTCTAGGTCAATAGAGCGCAAATGCGGAAGAATCATGTGCTTGCGCACAAACATCTCTCCACCAAGAAGTTTCCGCAAGACAACTTCAGCCTCAAGCGTCTCAGGCTTACGACAGATATCCGATTGAGCAAAATCCCAGAGTTGCTTGGTCACTTCTTCCCTCAGTGCGTGGCTAAGTCTTGGGATCGTCGACCCGGGCAACTCCAAACCAACAGTTCCATCTAAAGTGAACAAGTCTTTCTTCAACTCGAGCGTCTTGGAATTGCAAGTTTTGTTCACGAACTCTGCGCTTAAAGCCAGACTGAGCAAGTCTTGGGGGAAGAGACCAACAAAAGCAAGACCGAGGAGACCTGTCAGCAAATGCTCAGGGAATCGCTGAAACTCAAGTTGACGTTCTCGTAAGATCGCAGTGAGACAGGGATAAAGTTTAGGACTCTGGTTGGGAAGAACTCCTAATGTTCCAAAGGCCCAAAGCATCTTTGCAGCATCTTTACTCCTGCACCGGTTGACCACGTTGAGAAGTTGTTCGGCCACAGCCAGGAGAATCCGATTATCCCGGTAGTGAAGAGCGGAGCAAGACAAGACGACGTGCATTAAGCCTTGAACCTCCATTCTCGGGGCCCGACGAGGCACCTCGGATCCCATGGCCTCTAACCAGGGAAGATGGTCCAAATAGCTAAATCTCATAAGCTTCATTACATTGGCGATCCCGAAATCACTCAAATCATTGACTACAGCGAGAGCCCTGTCCACAAGCCGGCACGCTGCTCTCTCGGACAGGGAGATCTGCGACTTAAAGAGGGCTAAAGAAACAGCTTCCAGTTCTTCAGGCTTCAACTGGTTCAAATAACGCATGAGTAACGACTCAATGGGTTGAACGAGGGCATCCGGACATCTCCTTCCTTCTCCAATAACGTACATGAGTTGAAGCAGCTCTGGAAGACCCAGTTGGTTGAAGTTCTGGCTCACGTTGTCAAAGAGTTTATCAAGGTACCGAGGAACAAATCGGCCGAGGCATCGCCACAAGTCGGCGGCGAGAAGCAACTGGTGAAGCTCCATTTCACTTGCTCGTCGGCAGAACTCAGTTTCATACAATCCCAGTATGCTGTGGGATTTAGGCAAGCCCAAGTTCACAAATGATCTCAGCGTATCTAATAACTCGGCCGGCGTGAAATTGTGTAAGATTTCGGCGCTGTGCCGCAGGAGCGCGTTAAACCGCGTATCTTTCCTTACAACCGCGATCTGTTCGTGGGGAATCTGGCTGAGTTTGCACAAGAAACTAGTTGCATCTGAAGGTCCCATGTTGCTTTTAAGTTCCGTGACTCTTTCAAGGACTAACAAGGCTTCGTTGAGGTCTAAAGAAGAAGAGCGTTGGGAGACGTCATAGGTCATGTTCTGGTATTCAGGTCGACATCTTTGAAAGTCTCTTGGGTCACCGTTGACTCGTGGCTCTATGGTGGCTCTTTCTCGGTTTGATTCAGCGTTACTGTAATCCATGTTTGACGGCGTATTCTTGGTGCTGGAGAGCCGTCGTGAGGAGCTAATACGGTACGGGTTACGCTGTTGATGGAAAGTTTTGTTTAAGGATAGGCTACAGGACGATTCTTCTTTAGTTTCCAAGCAGCCAGCGGTAGAATTACGTGCCGTCGGTGTCTGGTAATAAGCCGAGGGCTTGTACACCAGTGTTCTTTCCGTTTCTTCTTCTCTCTTTTGCTCTCCATTTTCTCTCTTTTGCTCTCCATTTTCCACATTTGATGACAAATGTTTGGCTCTAAAGATGGATATGCGCTGTACGTGGACATAAAGTCGACGCTTTGCCAAATGATGGAGCAGCACTGTTGCAGACATCAACAGCAGACTCTGGAAAAGATCATGCAAGAGATGTGTTTTCAATTTAAAGGTCAACAGTGTACTTGAAAAGAATACGTTTGAAATTCAAAGTAAGAATGATAGTAGGTTTCCTTTTTTTGCCAAATAATCCTGTCAGATAAATAATACCTTAAACAAATTTAGTGTTTTGCTATGCCTTCATATTTAAAATATTTATATTTACATTTTCATGGTTTAATTTAACTTGTAGGGTCAAGTTAGATATTGCAAGTTAGTTTTTGCAACTACTATATCTAATAATTTAATTAAAGATTATGAAGGCTCATTAATAAAATAAAGTAATTTGCACGGTTAAATCATTTATAATAAACTAGGGATGCACCGAAATGAAAATTTTGGCCGATACTGATAATTCTTTATATTTGAAAGCCGATAACCGATATATTGGCCGATAAATCTAAATCCAAATTTTATTTTTAAGCCTCGTTACAAAAATAAAAAAAAGTTTAACCATTAAAATCCATGTCCTAAGCACACAATTATAATGTTCTCATTATAATTTTATAGCCAATATGACAGACTTACACTGCACGTTACACTTTACTGTATTTTCCTTTTTTGAAGTGATTCCAATCATACTTCAAGCAATTCAAAACCATCATGGTAAACAGTGCGCATCTGAAGTGTCTCAGCTGAAGGAAATAATACATTAATTATCGGCTTCTTTAATAGGCATATATCATTCATATAATGTTCTCAACGAGTGGATCTCAGAGCTAAGTGAGTGAGTGGAGGCGGGGCTCAATTGCATATTCATAAAACCAAGAATACTAAATGAGCCAAGGGTGTCGGGTTACATTCAAGATATTTTAAAGTATGACAAAAAAAGAATTCAAGGGGAAAAAATGCTTAAATATGTCATTTTGGTGATCAAAGATGAGTTTTAAGGGATACAATTATTGACTACAGAGGACTTCAAGATATCGGACAAATGTTCTTATTACCGATAACGATAATAACATTATATTCGAAAATACCGATATGGTGGCAACGCTTACACTGCAATTTTACATGAAAAATAAGAATGAATCGTTGTAAAAAAAATATATATATATATGGTGGTTTTATATTTGGGTATGTGCAGGCTTTTACAGGCTTAAAGCATAATAAAAATGATATTGTTGTCACTTTTAATGTTGATTGCATACACATTCAATGATAGCATTCACGATCATTTAAAGGAAAAGATCAGCCAAGACATTTAATTAAAAGAAAAAAAGTACTAAACTTTAATTTGGGAACACACTACTCCTCTAATATTAGTTATAACGTACTGTAAACTGAATGACACCGTAAACACACATTGAAGTAACCGTAACAGAGTTTCTACTTCGTTACGTCAAAAAAAGAATTGATCCCAGATGCTACAACTGAAATTCACATGGCATTTCGCCTTTACTGTTCTGCATTTTTTTTTTTTTTTTAAGAACATCAAAAGTGAGATAACTAAAACCTTATTTCCGTGTGGCGAAACGTCTTTAATCAATCCTAAACTACTGCACGTCCTTGACAGCAGCCGAACCATAGACATCACATTCATCTGTTAAATAACACACCGAACACAACACACTCCGAGCGACTGTGGAAAGATACACGTACCTTCAGCGCATGTGGTCTTCAAGTGGAGTATTTATCTCATGAGGATACATCGCAAAAACACTCACTTGTGTGCTAAATCTGAATCCACACGTGAATGTGTAGGTGGTAAAGGCAGATGTCATGCGCGGTACGGAAGCTCGTAAGAGACTAAATTGAAACAGTCACTGGCAGCATACGAAATCGCATATTTCCATAATGTGTAGTAGGCGAAAAAACAGTATATATATATTCTCTTACTGTCTATGATATATACATACTGCCGTTCAAAAGTTTGGGATCGGTAAGATTTTTAACGTTTTTTAAAAAGGCTGCATTTATTTGATTAAAAATACAACAACAAAAAACAGAAATATCGTTAAATATTATGACAATTTAAAATAACCGTTTTCTATGTGAATATATAGTAAAGTGTAATTTATTCCTGTGAATTTTCAGCATCATTACTCCAGTCTTCAGTGTCACATGATCCTTCAGAAATCACTCTAATATGAGGATCTGATGCTCAAGAAACATTTATGATTATTATTATTAATATATATTGTTGTGGACTATTTTTTTTTCAGGATTCTTTGATGAATAGAAAGTTCTATTTAATTTATTTTATGCATTTAATGCATCCTTGCTGACTAAAAGTATTGATTTATTTTATTTCTTTATTCTTTATTACTGTTTTTTTTTTTGTTGGTATTTTTAATCAAATAAAGCCTTGGTGAGCAAAAGAGACTTTTAAAAAACATAAAAAATCTTTCAGATCCCAAACTTTTGAACGGTAGTGTGTGTATATATATATATGGACAGATCTAGACAAACATGTAAGCAATTAGTCATTTAAAATATTTCTGCTGTATTGAATTCGACTTCCCTAATTCTCATTAGAAATTGAGAAATGAAATTTGTGGTTTTTGATCATGTGCAATTTTATACATTAGTAAAATAAGTCATGAAGAGAAGAGACACTGTTATTTTTTTTCTTATTCACATCTTTATTATTTAAATTAATATTTGCTAAGATATGCTTTTCCGAGCAAATTCTGCAGAAGAAAAAAAAAAGAAATGAAATGTTTACAAAAAAAAACCTTGCACTCATACATCTCAAGAACTAATCGATAAAGGGAAAAGACGCGGACTCTTGAATGTATGACTTTTACTGTAATATAGTCGATCAAAGGTTTTAAGATTCATATATGTATATTATATTCCTATATTAATAGTTTGAAAAATAAAAGCTGACATGTCAGTCTCATTACTTCACAAAAGTATTCACACGCATTAGCTCGGTATATTTGGATAGAATAGTTCTGTACACATAAGGAACAGTGATATTTACATGCTTTCGTCTCTACTGAAGAACACAACAGAAGCACATAGCAGCAAATGTGTGGCGTCTGTCTCCAACACTAGTGTCTAAAGCTGAGCGGGCCTGGGGTGATTATCTCTAGTTGGCTGATGATTGGAAAAAAAAGAGGCACAAGCTTTTGGGGAAAAACTGGGAGAGACACTGCAAGACTCCGTTTTCCACTTTCTATTGCATTTCTATAGCGATATACGTTGAGGGAAATATATAACTTTGTTGTGCTTGTTGCTCCAGATGCATTTCATATGCAATCCCTCATCCTCCCCTCGGGTCATTTTGATTTTTAATTTTTAAGAAATTGAGTGTTTATCAGAGGGGTCCAAGACCAGAGGACTTTGAACACGCATTGAAACACGAATGCACACACAATAATATTGAATGTATTAGAGGAGTTTTGTGGTTGAAAGTTAAAAAAGTAACAAATCCTTCCCTCGCGGGTCAATTGAATGTTAATGCACATAGGAAAACCCTAAAAAAGATCAAAATTCAAACTAAAAATGCTAAAACTTATGTGTATCTGAGTGCACACTGAATGGAACTGGCTTTAGGACCCAGCGGAACAGCTCCTCTGCTCCAGCTAGAGCTATAAGCCCATCTAGAGGCATCAAATATCATGTGTTGTTATTATTATCCACAAGAGGTCGGCAGAGACACTCAATGTAAGATATTTAGAGCTGAATTAAAAGGGTTATGCATTAAAATTGTGTTAGTTTTGAATTTAAGTTGAAAGAATGTGAGGAATATGTGCTTAAACTACTATTTATTTAATAAATCTATTAATTTAAAGGTAAAAAATAACAAAAAATCTTTTTTTTAGAAAAAATATCAAAACGAAATAAAATAAGCTTTCTGGACAAAAAAAATTAAGTATAATTTTAGGGCTTCAGGTCGTTTTGAAAAAAGAGGGAAGGATGAGGGATAAGAGGGAATCTGGCGTGTTACTGCGCGATATAATGTCAAAAATGTGATGCAAGTCATTCATGTGGTTCATTTGTATAATTTCTATAGCTTATAAAGTGACATTTACGTTTTTTTTTTACAATCGCTAGGACATTTCTCAATTATACTTATGTCACTTTTTCTAAACTCTTCACACACTGGGATAAACTGGAGCATTTATCATTGCTTCGGTGCAAAATACAGTTAACGACAGCTTTCAAATTACATTAATTCTTTTCTCGCTC